TAAAGAACAATATAGACCTTTCTCTTTGTACATGTTGTGTTTATGCCATCAAATTATCTTGATATTATTTTGACAAATGAATAAAACTGATTCAAACTGATACTTAGTCATAAAAGAGTTTTAATACTTAAGCTGTTAAAAAAGCAGCCCAAACACCAAGTAATAATCCTTTCCACAGAGGAAATAAACAGATTCATGATGAATTTAATGCATATTCATTAATCAAATGTTATCAAAAGACTTTTAAAAAACTTTCTTCAGGAGGACTTCTTTGAAGATGTTGATAAAATTTTCCCTGGCATTTCTTATTCAAATATATGTAACCATTACAACACAAACATTAGCAAATATTATGTTAGTATACAGTGTTTCAACAAATAATATAGAGTTCAGAATTACTTGTACTCAGACACAGGGGGTTTTGTTTATTTGTTGCTATATTAATGAAAATCATTGAAAGTTCAATGATACTTCACAGACAAATGACTTGGAAAGATATATACCCAAGCTGGCTTTCTTCCTGCCTAAGGACATGGGGGAAGTGGAGTGTAAAACAGAATCCTTCTTGATTTATTTTTACTTGGGTGGCTTTGGAAGTTACTCAAAACTTATGTGCTCTATAAAAGACAGAACTGAAAGATGCGATTTAAGCAGAAACTACCAACTAGAAATATTTTTTAGAGTATACTCCCACCCCTCGTGGTGGGCTAAGTCATCAACCCCTCTGCTCAAAGCTCTTCCACAAATTCCCATTATTTGGCCGGGCATGGTGGCTCACACCTATAATCCTAGCAGTTTGGGAGGCCGAGGCAGGCAGATTGCCTGAGCTCAGGAGTTCAAGACCAGTGTGGGCAACATGGCAAAACCCTATCTCTACTAAAAATACAAAAAAAAAAATTATCTGGTGTGGTGGCACATGCCTGTAGTCCCAGCTACTCGGGAGGCTGAGGCATGAGAATCACTTGAACCTGGGAGGCGGAGGTTGCAATGAGCCGAGATTGTGCCACTGCACTCCATCCTGGGTGACAAGGCAAGACTCTGTCTCAAAAATGAATAAATAAAATTGAATAAAAAAATTAAAAAACCAATAGATTCCCATGATGTTAAATGCCTTAATTCCTAACATGTCCTAGAGAGACACTCGTATTATAGATCTGGTCTCCTGATTAGCTCTCCAGCCTCAGTTGACACCACTAAAACAGGCAGGCATGTGCAAGGAACTGCCAACAGAACTCATCAAATATTGGTGGAGTTCCTGCTCTGTCCCAGGCACAAGGCCAGACTCAACTTACCATTGTCAGAGCTTGAAGAGGTAGGCAGAGGATGGAGGGAAATGGAACTGAGCAGGGCTGTAGAGACTAATTTTGAAGGCCTGATGTGCTGCTTGTCTAAGAAACACAAGCTTCTTTTCATTGATGATAGGGAGTCCTCGAAACATTTTGAACTAATTTTTATAGAATGAACTGCTTCCAAAGGTGTTAGTTTTATGGTGGTAAAGGAGGCCATTGTCTAGCATTTAATATTTATTTGAGTGAAAAAAAAAATGCCAGCATAAAGAAATAGAATACTTTTTCTTTATGACCTCTTTTTGGGCATCAGTTCATTCACTGAGCAAATGTTCACTGAGAATTTGCCAAGAGCCAGGAACAGTGATATGCACTCATGAAACGAGATAGAATAGGACATTTTTATTCTTTTCCCATGGCATACACAAGCCTATGGAGGATCAGTAGGCAAATAAATAGAAAATTGCAAATTATATGTTAAGAAATACACAAACAAGAGGCTGAAATAGAGACTAACAAGGAGGCCTTCCCCTTTTGGTAAATTGCTTGGAAAGGCCTAAGTGGGGAGTTGATGATATTTAAGGCTAATCCTGAGAGATGAGAAGGAGCCAACCACAAAAGAGGAAAATGAGCATATCAGGAAGAGGTAATGACTAGGGAAGTGTTAGATATGGTTGCATAGCTGAAAGATCAGTGTGGCAGGATTCTATGGGGTAAGGAGGAGTAACACAGGAAATGAGATTGCAAAGACAAAAGCCAGAACTTGCAGGGAGTTGTAAATTCTGCTAAGAAATGTGAATTTTGCCCTCCTCATTTCTTTGGGAACATAATTTGGTGTATTTTCAATGTGGTTACATATTTTTTTTTTAACATGAATTATCTGACACATATATTTCTTTCGGTACTAAATCTTAAAAAAATATTTAAAATGGATTGATGATGCTTACGATGAATTTTTCTGTGAAAAAAAGCCTAAAATGCATATACTGTTAAAATGAGCCATTTTACCTTTTAACTTGTTGAACAAAAAAGGAAAAAATAAACAGCATTTTGAGTGGTCTTATAGGACAACTTACTCACATCTTAATCTTCCAGTGATTATTGAAATGGCTGTTCCAGTGGCAATTCAATGGTTGCTGAGACTACACAATGCGGATTTTGACATTCAGAAGAGAATTTCTGAGAAGATTTCAGTTAAACAATCTGAAAGTTATAGCTCCTTCCTTTAAACCACCAATCAATTATATCCCTCAGTGTATGTCATGCTCAACAGAGAAAACAATTCAGTTGAGCTGTATCCTAAGTCAGGGAGGTTGATATCATTTACAGGGCAACCTCTTAGGTAAGGTTTCATTTCCTTCTGTGCAGGATGATGTTAGGTCTCATGCTGCAGCCTGGACTCTTGTGATTTTGACCGTGGCAGGGTTCTAAAACCAAGTTTTAAGTGGAGTATAGATTCCTATGGGAAATACCTAAAGTAGAAGTGTTACTTTCTTAACTACCACTCCCCTATTAAAAAAGTTGGTTAGTTTTTCAATTAACTGAGTTAACACTATGCAATGATTCAAAAATTAAAGAGTAACTAGAGCAATACTGAAGGTTGTTCAAAAACTAAAATCCTGTTTGTACAAATTGGACTCATTTACTTGTCTTGAATATCAAATATAGAATAAAAAGGAGCAATGACTCCAGTTTTTCACTAACAGCTGAAAAAAATTTACCGGCCATCAGGTTTAAAGCTGTGTTACTGTCCAGCTAAATTTATAAATTCATATACTGAGAAAAGCTTATTCCATTATCATTTCCCTACTAATGGATTTTCTGCTTAATTTTGTAGTAAAGTTATGATAAAAAGTGGAGTTATTACAAGCTATTCTGTGAGTTATATAATACGCTGAGTAGATTCCTACAAAGCCATACTTATCTAATTATGAGGCCAACTCCTTGAAGAACACATGTTTGTGTCTCTTATAACTAATTAATGAAGACTGAAATAATTGATGAATGTAACAGAAGTATACCAGCAGATACTGAAGTTTATCTCCTTTATCACCATTGGTTCTTTATCTGTAGTCCTAATATTAATTGATTAATTTGATAAAACAATAGCTTTGTTTGCTTTCTATCCTAATGATGCAACATTCCTGTGGAATACGTAATGCACATTTAATAATCCTAAAATAAATTATGAATAGTGGATTATTATAGAAAACAAAAATTAATATCAAAAACTTATTTTATATTAATTTTCTTAAATTTTCAGATCACGGTCTATTTTCATGACTAAGAAAGTGGTCTTTGAGTTTATTCACTGGTAAATGATTGAAGTTTTAACTTTCATTAAATATGACAAATAAGAACTGCAGTGATTCATTCTTCTGGAAGTGAAACAGTACCTATTTCCATGATTTGAAATCTAAATAAAATTTATACCTACTTTCTGTAGCAATACAATAGCATCAGTTGATTAGCCAGGCATTTGGGCATCTGTACAACTAAAATATTGAATGAATTAATTTTTAGTAAAATTGAGTGTAGAAGATAAAGATAAAAATAAGAAAAATACTATACTAAAATGTTTTTCATGAATTATGAGCCCTTTTTTAGTAAACAATAAAGCTGAGTTAGCTGACAGGCAAAGCAAGAAGGTGACCCAATAACCCTAAAGACACGTTGTAAGAAAGACATTATTAGTTTATTCTTTGAAAGCAGTGAAATATCAGTGATGACTTGTATCAGTCTCAGATCCTACAAGGAACCCTACAAAGGTCAAGTGTTTTTGGATGAAATTAGTACCTTACATTTTAAATCTTTCCTTTCTTGGCTTACTTTCTTAATTTTAAAACCACACCATGCTCCATCCCACACAGAACAACTGGAGTTTACAAAGTCTTAACTAATTCATGTCACAAAACTTCTAGGCAAAGACATCACCCTTTTACTAGAAAATCCAAGTGTCTGTCAACACTCAAATAGTTACATATTATGACAAGGTATTATATTTTTAAATTATTCCATTCACTTGGGTTTTTCAGATTTTCCCAGTTCCTTAAAAATATCCTTTTGGATTTATGTAGATACATTTTCCAGAAAGGTCTTCCATGGTCCCTTTGTACTATGCTGCTTTTTGAAAAGTAATAGGAATTTAGCTTTTTCTCATTTTGAGCTACTGTGTATTTTTCACTTTGAGGAAAATGGGACAGGCTGTAGATGACATGAATCTTCTTGGTCTTTCGTCTCTTTTTTGATGAGTGAAGAGAAAGCTATGTGAGTTTCCATATCTGTCTTTTGCTTATAGTACAAAGATAATAGATCATCTTTTCTGAAGGATCTGACTTCCACTTTTCAAAAGTAGCTGAGAATAAGGAGTCAAGGAGGTTTTACATCTGTTATTCATTGAGATATATGGGGTTGCATTGACACCTGCTTTGTTGAAAGGGAGAGCTAAATTCATCTACTAACCTCTTATTAGATGAACTGTGACTATGGGGAAAACAACTAGGGCCAAATTACTCAATGTTCAAACAGAAATACTTTAACAGTAAAATTAAGCAGAAATAAAAAGCCTGAACAGCATGTAATTCTTACAGGGAAAATAATTTGAAAGCAATGCAGATTTTTAACTTAAAGTTTCAGATTTTACTAGAAAAATTTAAGAGAACATTGCAAAGCCACAAGGTGTTTTAAGTACTTTTCCTTATTGATAGAGTTAAGAAAAAAAGCCGCACTAAAAACTTGACATTTCTCTTTATTTCACAATCTGAGACTTAGATAACAAGTATCATGAACTTTTGATTCTGTGTTGCTCTTAATAACTCCCAATTTAATTACAAGGGCTATTTAAAAATTCACACATTTATGCTGAGAATGAATTACATATGGTTTCTAGACTCAAGTAAAATGAACACAAGTACTATGTACAGTATCATGGTAGGTAAACTGCTTGTTAATTTTTTTTTTCCAGATCAGTTTACATAGTGTAACTATAGCTTTATTTTATCTACCTTTAAGCTCAATTCACCCAACAGTAAAGGATCTTAACTGGTAACAAGTCTAGATGACTGATAAGATAGCATCACGTGGTACAAATGGAGGCTTCATTCTCTCTCTTTTTTTAAAGAAACCTCTTTAGACAGGCACTTGACTCAAAGACACTTTTGGACACCAGAAGCCTAAGGCACTGTTTCTGATCCACTGATGACAAAAATAAATGATTTCAAGCTGAGAAACATTTTCTCCCACAGGATAAGGATAATTTTATTCATGGACAAAATCCCCTATAGAGGAGATCTTATAATCACATCACCTATTACCATAATCATCAAATATATACAACATCTAGGTCCAATTAATGGAAGATGGGACCATATGGTTGTCAGTTACAGTGACGTGGTAAGAAGATCATGCTTTGTGTCTTCAGTCCAAGTGCTTTACAACCATGAAGCTTCTCAGTACCTTTGCGAACTAGGTAAGGAATTTTCTATACTCTGCTTTCCATTCCTGCCTCAATCTAAGTAAGACTGCTGCTGCTGATTATCTTTAAATATGTAATGATAACTATGAATTTAAAATGTCTATGTTTCCTCAGGAGGGACTGTATTCTCTGTTTTATGGGATGTCTTAACGAGGAAAAGGGCCACATCTCTTCATCATGTCACTTCTCTTGTGTCTGTTAAAGTGACCTCATTCACAAAGCAAATGCTGAGGCAAAGGCCGTTCTTAGTATGAACATACATGAGGATGACTTCAGTGTCCTCTCACAACCTGCTGCTGAAAGTGGGAGAGAAGAAGTACTTTCAACACAATAGGTCAACTCTGGTGGCTTTGCCCTTGCCCTTTCTTTACAGTGACTTGTCTCTGGGGTTATAGCCTAGGGAGGAGCTGGCAAAGACTGATGGTTGTGACATAACATTGGTTTTGTATTCATAGTTACAGGGATGTCAGGTGTGTAAGGGGAAGGTGTTGCAAGATGACAAAATAATGCTTTGTTTGAATGTATAAGTGGCTGGTGGGGTTTTTGAGCTCAAAGAGAAATGAAACACACAATTTTGTGCAGTATTGTGCGACTCAAAGAAATATTGAGACAATTTGGACAGTAGGCATCTGGATGGCTATGTATTTTGTGGCTCAAGCTGATTAAAATTTCTGTATCTTGTACACATAGTACCCTGTTAGCTAAGTAAAATTTGATTCCTGTAGATGTTTACAGCTATTAACTGTGAGACCTTTGCAAAAATTATTTCTGCTAAATTATACTTCACTGTTGCTGAATTATACTTTACTGTTGCCTTGTTGGCTTTCAGAGTGGCATAATGCAATAAACAGGCAGGTAATATCACTTCTCTGTTATTTACAAGACTGCTATTTAAGACATTATTATGTTTCTTTATATAGCTGATACAATTTTAATATATTCATTTTAGAATTTGGTACCAGAAAAATGTGTTTTTTTCCAAAGTTTTGATATAAGAATTATGTAGCCTATCTTATTTGATTTGTTGCCCTGACTCTCAGGAAGCTTAAAGATAAATAATGACAGTGATGATACATTCTTTATATAATGAACCAATTTATTTTATCATTTTTATACACCAGTCAAATCTGGTGGAACCTGATATTTCAGTCATGCAAGATGTTATGCTCACTTACATGGACCTATTGGCTGTATAACTCATATGCTAGTAAGACTTAAAATGTCTCTTGGTTCTGGAAAATAGGTTGAGAAATCTTTTGGCACCAGAATGATTAAATCCTACCTGAAGAAAAATGTAAGACAAAAAAGAATGAAATTATGGTCCCCTTGCTCATTGATTGGAGGCAGCACAGTGTACCCTGGTAGAAAAAACCCCAGATTTAGATGTAGAATGACTTGAATTTGAAAAATAGCTCTTAGGCTTTTTATCTGTATAATTCAGGGTATATTGTTAGCATTCTTGAATTTTAGTATTCTGTTTGTGGATTATTTAAAGTTCTTAAGGAGGTGCCTTGCACAAAGTAGGTATTCAATAACTGGACTTGAAGCATTGACTATTATTATTTTTAATAATAACTATTTGTTTAAGTTTAGACTGGATAATACTAGTTAAAACTTGAAAACAAATACATTAAATAATTCCATAAGATGCAAAAAAATGAACTATTGAACATTTTCTATTTGAACATAGAAGTTTTACAAATATTTCACTATGTATATTAAAATATTATAAAAAAGGACTTAATAACGGTTTTTTTGTTAACCTGGATAACATGGAAGTCTAAGATATGTGTGAAATTTCACTTAGAGTTTAATACTTTTTTTAAGAATAAAAAACTGTAATCACTGTTTTACTAGGACAAAATTTTAATAATTAAAATTGATAAGAGTCTATTAGTGAGTTATTATTAAGGAATATCCTAAGGTTTAATAGTTCTAAAGATGCAGAAGCTACAGTACTAGTTTTTATTGTTTACATGTCTATAATTAGTTAGACCCACCAATTTACAAATATGTTATCCTCTAAAACCTTGCTTGTAACTCGCTTGTTTGAAGCTCAAAGTGAAATATTTTATAGAAGATATATTGTAAATACTGGCTTGTTTTCAGTTTATCCCCCTTCCCAAAGTTGATTCAATCTGTAATAATAAAGCTGAAGTTTTATGTTTTCAATAAAGGACAGAAAATAATACTCTGCAACATCTTTTAATTTTAAAGCTAACAAAATACATTTAAGCATACAGAATATTCAGTAAGCTTTTTCATTGAACATTTTTCTGTTAGGTAACCTATAATTAAGAAAGATGGAAAGAGAAATACTTATAAAATTTATCTTGAACATGTTTAATTAGAGAGGGGTAAAAAGGCTGGAGGGAAGTTCAGGGCATATTCTGGAGAATTCTGGGCCATTTAATGGTTTTGGAGGTTCAATTCAATGAATATGTTTTTCGGTGGAACATTCCTCCACTGAGACTTCATATTGCATATTTTAGTGAAGTCAAAGCTGAATAAAACACCATCTCTGTACTTACACCACAGTGAAGATCAAGTTTAGCTGCATAGCACAGGAAAATTAAAAACACCACCAAATTAAACAGAAGTCTATTTCCCTCCTATGAAAGGAGTCTGGAGTGAAGTAGTCCACTGCCAACTAAGGACTTCAGCTACATCTTCCTTACTCTTCTGTTGCCTAGGCTTGGCTTCTGTTCCCAAGGCCACCGCATGGTTCATGATGGGTTCTGTAACTTTAGCTGTCTCATTTGTATCTGTAACAGCAAGAAAAAGGAAGGAGGAAGAGATGGGCACCCTCCTCCCTATAAAGGAGATTTTCTGGAGGTCTTAAAATACCATGATTTGTTTTTCATTTGGCCAGAACTCAGCTGCCTGGGTCACTTACATATGCGAAAAATCCTGGGAAATGCGGTCTTTTAGCTGCTTGGTAATGTCTCCAGCTAATGTTCGGGTTTCTATTTATTGGAGAAGAAAGGGAGAATGGATTTTGAGGGCAACCAGCAGTCTATACTGCATTCTCAAGACTGATTCAATATAGAAATGGGTTGGTAAATGTAATGACTATTACAACACTGATCACTGTGAGTGAAGGGTTGCAAGAGAGCTACACACAAAGGACAGTGTGAAATGATCAGAAATTCACTTTGCCTAAATTTCAGTTTTGATCTTTGCATAATGTCAAAACTTCTCTTTGAAAGATAATAGCAACTGATGGTTTTAATTTTGTTTATATTATATTATATTATAAGTGTAAAAGTGTACCATTTACAAGACAAAACCTTAGCCATGAATTCACCTCCCAGTCCTCAGAAATTCTCCTTACCTTCTCACCTCCTCAGCTATGGTGACTTCTCTTTGATCCCAGCTCCCACTTATTCCTGTATGCTTGGCAGCTGACATGATAGGTCATCTTCTGACTGACTTTGGGGCTCATGCACAACACCTAGTCCATGACATCTTTAATTCTTATAATAATCAGTTGTAATTTATTGAACACATTCAGAGAGCAAATATGTTTGGGAGTTCTAAAAATGTCTTCATGAAAGGACCAACATCTGAAGGAAATCTGGAGGTGTGGGTGGTGGATCAGATACTGTGGCCTGCCCCAGTGCACCGTGCTCTTTCCTTCTGGCTGGCACACCCCAAATTTGAGGTCCTTCTTTTTTACTTTTTGTTTTTTCTTATTTCTTGAGGTGGAGTCTTGCTCTGTCACCCAGGCTGGAGTGCAGTGGCACCATCTTGGTTCACTGCAACCTCCGCCTCCCGAGTTCAAGTGATTCTCTTGCCTCAGCCTCCTGAGTAGCTGTGATTACAGGTGTGTGCTACCACACCTGGCTAATTTTTGCATTTTTAGTAGAGACGGGGTTTCACCATTTTGGTCAGGCTGGTCTTGAACTCCTGACCTTGTGTTCCTCCCGCCTCAGCCTCCCAAAGTGCTGTGATTACAGGCATGAGCCACCGTGCCCAGCTGAGGTCCTTCTTAATAACCAGCCTTTACAAAGGTGGAAAACTCTTTATATCAGTTATAGCTTAAGTTTCCCTTAAACTGAGGACTAAACATAACGTTAAAAAGTTCTTGAGGAGAATCTGAGAACCTCTTTGAAAGGGTTTGAGGATCCTAGGGGCTCTTGGACCCTCAAGTGGGAAACACTAACTTAAGCTCATAAAAGGAACACACTATTTTCCTGTCAGGGGCAGTATATTATAGTGGTTAAGGGTTTGGTCTAGTGCTGTGCTGACCAGGTTTGAACCTTAGTTTGGTCCCTTATCAGCAGCACAAGGAAGTAAGCAGTGAATCTTTTTCTACATATGTTTCTTCATCTGCAAAGTGAGATAATCGTAATAACCATTTTGTAGGTTATTATAAGGATTAAGTGAGTTAATATTTGTAAAGTGCTTAAACAGTGACTGACATATGGTTGGTGCTATTATTTTTAAAATTTTTTTTAATTTTTATTTTTTTGAGACGGAGTTTCGCTCTTGTTACCCAGGCTGGAGTGCAATGGCGCTATCTCGGCTCACCGCAACCTCTGCCTCCTGGGTTCAGGCAATTCTCCTGCCTCAGCCTCCTGAGTAGCTGGGATTACAGGCACACGCCTCCATGCCCAGCTAATTTTTTGTATTTTTAGTAGAGACGGGGTTTCACCATGTTGACCAGGATGGTCTCGATCTGTTGACCTTGTGATCCACCCTCCTCGGCCTCCCAAAGTGCTGGGATTACAGGCTTGAGCCACCGCTCCCGGCCAGTTGGTGCTATTAAATAAAAAAAAAAATCGAATAGTTTCTCCTTCCATGTAATCAGCAATTCTCAACATTTTGTGAAGTCTAGGCCTTTTACTTGATTTCCCATTCTCTTTTCTCTTTGTGTTTGCTGAGAATAAAAGAAAGGTCCCTTTGCTGGCTTGTGTTTCCTTAAGATCTTCATTAGTCACACAAAGGGAACCTTGGAGGCCCGTCATTTAGCAAGGACTCGACTTGATTCCTAGCAAATGTCCCTTGTTCTCAGATTCTACTGTGAGGAAGGAATAAAGTGGTTCATTCTTCCTCTTACTATAATGAGCAGGTCTGGATTTGAATTTAGGTTCTACTACTTCTACCTGCATGTTCCCTTAACCTTTTTAACCCTTTCTAAACCTTTGTTCATATGCTAAAGGGAATAGCAATATCTCATAGAATTCTCATCAGAATTAAATGAAATGATGAATATAGAGCACCTATTATAGTGCTCAACACATGGTAAATGCTCAAAAATTTACATCCTTCGTTGTCATTAGAATTGAAGACATCATGGTCTAGGTGTTATGCATTGAGCCCCAAAGTGAGTTAGTTAGATGATGACCTGACATGTCAGCTGTCAAGCATACAGAAATAAGCAGGATCAAAGAGAAGTCACTGTAGCTGAGGAGGTGAGAAGGTAAGGGGAAGTTCTGATGATTAGGAGGTAAATTCTTGGCTGAGGCTTTGCCTTATAAATGGTATACTTTCAACTTGAATATTAAGCATAAAACAGAAATCATCAATTTCTGTCATTTTTCCTTTTTAACTATTATCTGATTTTTGTAACTTTTATTTCAGGTTGAGGGCTACATGCAAAGCTCTTTTACATAGATAAACACGTGTCATGGGAGTTTGGTGTATAGATTTTTTTTCATCACACAGGTCTTAAGCCCAATACCCAATAGTTATTTGTTTCATCACCCAGATATTAAGCCCAATATCCAATAGTTATTTCTTCCTCTCACCATCCCCCTCAAGTAGACCCCAGTGTCTATTGTTTCCTTCTTTGGGTTCATAAGTACTTATCATTTAGCTCCCTTTTATAAGTTATAACACAATACTTGGTTTTTTGTTCCTGCATTAGTTTGCTAAGGATAATAACCTCCAGCTTCATTCATCTATTATTTTTTCAAAAAGAAATTTTGATGTTATGCAAAGATCAAAATTGAAATTTAAGCAAAGTGAATTTCTCATCATTTCACTAAATGGAAACAACCATTGCCATGAAGCATAATATGAAACCTCAATGCACAAATGGTGGAATGTAACAGCATGCGAAAGTCATGTTTCAACATATTTCTTGGAATTTCTGGGCAGAGTGAGAATCCCTTCAATAATAGCGCATGTAAACATAGTCATAAACAATTATTTTTTAAAATAGAAAAATTCCCTTGAGATCTATTTATTCAAACTGCATTGTGCATAGCTAGGGAATTCTCAGAACTGGACTGATTAATTCTGTAATATGGTTTAGCTTTCTTTATTGTTTGGGACTCAGAGATTCTTGTGCTATACAAACAGACATTGTTCTCCTTAGCTGAAACAAAATGATTGGTCTGATACAGATATAAGTTTTTCAAGATGGTGTAGGATAATTAGAAATGATTCCTTTAGATTATATTGTCTAATTATTATTTCTTTCCTCAGTGCAGATGAACCTTTGTGGAAATATCTCTCCAGAAACATTCATTTTTGTGATGAAAGGCTATCACCATAGAATTTCCATCACCCAGTGAACCTGCATACATAATAGCCAGAGGTAGAGACTCATTATTTTCTTTTCTGCTCTTTGATCCACTCTAGAAATTTTGGAAAGTTTAAATAATATGGAATCATATGAATATTATTTAAATTTAAATGTTTGTATTTCTGGGAAGTTTGGGTAATATTCATTTGTGTTCATTTTGTTAGCAAAGCCAAGATTTTGTTGATACAGACATGTATTATGTAATCTTGAAGGTCTTTTCCCACAATGTCTCGAGTTAACAAAGTTAAACTGATGCACAAGTTTATTATCTTATTATTGTATATAGAGATAACTTATAAGATGCTACCTATTTTTGGTACAAAAACTCATGCTAATTTGCTTTGAGTAGAACATCTGAATTTATGATGGCCTTTAGCCTATAAAAAACGGAATGACTAACCTATTCTTGGATTTTATTATGCAGTAGACAGGACAATGTTAGTATAAAACACATTGTTAAAACTGGACAGAAACAGTCTGAATAAACTGTTGTAAACCTTCAATGAAGTGAAGAGGTAACAATTTCTACAAAGGGATTGTTCCATTTTGGGCCAAAATTATAGCTCTGCAAGGGTATAAGAAGTTCACTAGATGGGAGGCTGCTTGAATTTGCAACCGTATATATCTTTTTCTTCTGAAAGAAAGAGGCATTTGTTTCCTGACATGTTGTCAGGGAAATTGTTCATTTTTATTCTTTATCTGTCACTCAAAGTTGTCACTACATTTAGTGGCTATTTTTCTGCACATCATTCCTACCTCTAATAGTGCTGTCAGCCTATCTGGTATTTGTGTGCCAGCAACACATTTCTTTCTACTTCAAACAGAACTTCTGGAAAGTAACTTCCTCTTTCTGTTATAAATCCCAAGAAAGTCATTGTAAGAAGTTCTAGTCTGCTCAAATTCCTTTCTGTTCCTTGTTTTTAATCAAAATAGGGACTAGTGACATTTTTCTTGATTAATGGAGCATTGTTTCGAATTATTCCTTGAGTTGAGATGTTCAATTCAAGCTGATATTTCTATGCATTTCCACTGAACCTTCTTTGGGGTAAATGGCAGAAATTCAAAGTTGAATGGTGGGAGGTAAAAGTGCAAATTGATCTGTAATCCTCATATTATAAATATTTCAACAAACTGAGCTCAATAGTAACTATTAAGAAATAATGAAATCAACTTTTATTACTTTTTTTTTTTCACATTTGTCACAAAGCTCAGAAGTGAATGCCCCTCAGACACAATGTAGCCTGAAGAACATACTGGGAATTCCAACTAATTCATGATTTAGAGGAAATTTTTCTTTGTAAAATAAAACAAAAATCAAACCCAAACAAGCCAAAAAACGGGGTACTCTAATCTTTACCACAAATGTGCTACATGATTATAAATAAGTTAATTAGCTTTCTCAGTCCAGTAATTCCCTTGGCAATGAAGTGAAAACCAAAGTTTTTGCATAGGACAAAAATACTAAGATTGTTCTTGAAAGATTTTCAGTGTGGTTCCTCATTTAAATGTTTATAATAACATGTTATTTATTAAAAAAGCTGACTAATACATAACAAAGATAAAGATTAAAACATGGTTATTTGAAGCAATCATGAAAGTATTCTGAAATGTATTACCTAATGAGCTTAGAAGCAAAAAATGACAGATGGCTTTAGAATTTTTACTTCCAAAAGGAATTTTTGTACTGAATCTTGTCTCCCCAGGGGACAAATATTTCATCATGTATGGCTGTAGCAATTATTTTCTAATGTATGATTAGTGAACCTAGTTATAGAGAACAGTTAATCCAAAAAGGCTAAAATCTGTCCATAGAAAGAAATAATCTCCCAAAGAAGAATCTATCCCTTCACTTAAGTAGTAGTTGCATTGTGTGATACTGGATAAGCCCTGGAATGTGGATCAGGGCACTTAAGATCCAGTCCTGCCTCTTCTACTAAGAAGTCTCCTGACCATATTGGGTTTCTTTCTTTACATGTAAAATGAGAAGGTTAGGCCAAATAATCTCCAAGATCTCTTCCAATTCAAATCCTTAACAATTTGGAAACTAATTTATATCGCATACAAACATGGAAAAGTTAAAAAATCATTTTTAAAGTTGATATAGCTATTTCAAAAGTGGAGAAGAAACAGGTCACAGCACACTGTTTTTAGTTAAAATGAATGAAAGGCTGTGATTGAGAATGGTGGCATTCTCAAACTTAAAAAAATAAAATCTATATTCTGTGCATTGGACAATGAACAACCCTTGAAAACATCAGGCGATGCTAGCAACTTGACTTTAGAATAGTTTTGTTTTTTCTGAACCAGGATTTCTTAACCTTGTCACTATTGATATTTTGGGGTGGATTATTATCTGTTGTTGGGTGTTGCTCATTTTAGGATGTATAGTAGCTTCCCCAGCCTTTATGCACTAGATGCCATTAATATATTCATCCTCTACATTGTGACAACCAGAAAAGTTTCCAGGCATTTGTCCCACCGAGGATCACTGATCTAAAGTGAGCTAGCCTTCTCTGGCCTCTTGTCTTAACCTTGCACATGATGCTGGAGTTGTGAGACTCCAGTACCTTTCAAACAAGTGTCCAAGGCCCATTGTGCCTTGAACATATTTCTATGAAGAAAAGCACTAAAAATAAGATTTGTTAACATTAGTATGAAAATTATAATATATGGATGCTTGTGCCAGGAATGGTACAATCTATGTTTCCTGAATTCGTTGTTCATGAAGTTAACTCCCTCATTATCTGAAAAACAGAAGCCCATCCTCACAGTCCTTACTTTCTGGCTGGGAACACACACCATACATAAATCTAAAATGGGCTTTAGAATAGTTACAGAGTAGTATGCTGATGAAGTGAGTGTGAGTGAAGAGAGTGCTGAGTGAATGGCTGATAAGGGAGGCGGGTGGAGAGAAGTGATGACATCTTTGCAGCCAGAGGTAGGGAACAGGCGGGGGATAAGCTGCGAGTGAGGGACAGCAGGCACCCCAGCAGCAGTGAGAACTCAAAACTAGAGCAGATGGCTATGAAGACTGGAAACAAAGGTTCAGTTAGGCAGGAGGAATAAATTCTGAAAATCTATTATAGAGCATGGTGGCTATAGTTAATAATGTAGTATAAACTTGAACATTGTTAAGAAAACAGATTTTAAATGTTCTGACTGCAGTAAAGAAGGTAAGGATGTGAGGTGATGGATATGTGAATAGCTTGATGTAATCATTATGCAATGTATGGGTATATCAAAACATCACATTGCAGCCCATAAATTTATACAATTTTTGTCAATTAAAAACCAATGAGTCAATCAATAAGATAATTAAAATAACAAGACTGTGGGAGGAGCTTGCAGAGTCCTGAGGTCCAGCCAAAGTGCTTGGCTTTAATTTTATTGATAAGCAGTGGGATGTCCCATCTTGAGAAAGGGCAGTGAAATGAAAGGGAGTCTTTGATTGAAACAATACCTTCAATTTCTCTGACAAAGGCTTTGGAGGCGGTTGAATGACCACTCGAAATACCATTTTACTTCCCAGAATGGCAGTCAAGGGATGATTCTACAGTTTTTCTTTTTTATTGCTACCTAAAAAGGTGACTAGTATGAAAACTTAGTCTAGCTAGCCTTACACGCAACCATTTTAGACCAGTTAAATGGTTTTGTGACTAAACTCTCATGTTGTATGGTGGCTATATGCCTCCATTGCAGGATGTTGACAAGTGCCACCCTCCCTGTCAAATGAATGCCAGAATTATCCAGATCAAGAAACCATATAGAATTATGGCAAGAGCATGGGTGTTGGAGTCATTTGGTTTGTATTTGAGTCCTGATTCCATCACGTACTATTTGTATGGTCCTCAGTTTTCTCATCTGTAAAATGGGAATAAGTGATGTATTGGAAGGAATCAATTCTATGTTGAATATATTGGAAAAAAATCAGTTATATAATATTTGTAAAGCACTTAGCAAAGCAGCTGGCATCTAGCAGGGACTCAGTAGATACGAATTATGTTATTATTCATGCTAAAATGTGAAAATTTATCTTTAAGAGTCTTAAATATACACTGGAATTGCCTTGAGGTTGCCTCTCACATGTAAACATCTATTGTCAATGCATAAAATGGTAATTGTTTAAATGAAAATATGGTATGAAGAGGAAAGCTTTAGCTATGTTTGCCTGGAGATAAGGAGAGAGCAAAAGTGCTTTTTGTTAAAATTGAACACTGGATAAAGAAGAAACAGGTACTGAGTACCTGGGAAGGATTATGGAGAGAGGTGAAGCTCAGCAAAGCCAACACCTTGCGTGTGGGCCTGTGGACTAGTGCAGAACTATGTAAATCCTGCCCAGAGGAAGGAGCATTTCTTGGAAGATTTTTGTGCTTTAGGATGTCTCTGGGATTATCTGTTTTGGTATATTTCCTGTATTTCCCTCTCTGTCAACTCCAAGAGAAATAGGAGGAAGAGTCCTCAGTGGGTCAAACTCATTCCATCTCTTCCAGTCCTGAGAAGGAATGAAAAAGGACATCTGTCTTCATCTAAAATGAGCTGAGGACATATAGATCTCATCCCAGGGCTGTTCTCTCTCCACAGTCCTGCACAGAATTCCTTCTCAGCAAAAAGGAGCAAGATATCTCCTGCTTGGGTGAAGGAAGTAGCTACAACAGACAGTAGTTTTAACCAGAAATCAGCGGATTCTGTGGAGCAATGTAGCTTAGGCTGAAGCTAGTAATCAAAAAGGAGTCTGACTTACTATGAGGTGAGAGAATAGAAAGTAGGGAAGTTAAGAGAAAAGGACCCTAATCACAAAGCTAGACAAATTGCCGGGTTTCAGAGGAATCGAATGGGGTGCTAGTTTACTAAACCCAATGCAGTCATCTTAACCTCTTGATTCTGTGCCTAGGATGCCAATCTGTGGATTTTGATTTATTACAAGGAGCAAATAATGTCCTCCCATTTGAGGCAGTCCTAACTTCAGTTTTAAGGTACTGTTTGTCTTTGAAACTCTGCAATGGTCCCTGGTCTTCCAGTGTTGACTTTTTTCTGATGCCTTATTCTGATCTGATCTCTCTGGTTTCTGTTTCTTTGACTTTTTCTCCTCATTTCCTTCTTTCTGTTAGCTTTTGTTTACTTCTGTCTCCAGGCTTTCTGTTCAACATATTCCTACAATCTGGGTCCTTCTTCCTTAGTTCATTTTCTGCCAAAGTTCTCCTTGTGTTTGTTAATGATTCTTCATTTCATAACTACACAGATAGTAGTTTTAACCTTTAACTGCTAAGTTTTGGTATAACAAAGGAAGATGGTCGACATCAGAATGATATGAGACTTAAGGAAGGACTAATACTGTTTTACAAAAGAGGAGTAGAGGGATGCCAATCAAGAATATGGAATTTGTTCTTTGACGTGTCCTTATGCTTGGGTTTAGAACAGCTAAACCCAAGAACTGACAGTGTATGCCAGCCTACAGTGTGTCGAGCCTGTGCTGAGGGGGTCGTTGGAGAAGGAGGCCACTAGAAAATGCTTGGTTAGTTGGGATTATATGGCTTTGAACAGAAGAAATCTTTCCTTCAGGCCTTCTTCCTTCTGCCTACCCTCCTTTCGCTCTTTGAAGGCTATGGCGGAGATTGCTTGAGATCAACCTGTTCATGAGAGGGACTCTATATCTGCTTTATTACCCAGATGTCATCCTGCTACCTGATGTTGATTAAATATGACATCCTGTTATCACAAAGGACACTTTCCAGAGACCAAGTATGACAGCAAAAGCCAAGTCATGTCTGATTCATCAGTTTTGGGAAGAACATAGGCTTTTCACTGAATAATTTCCATCTATTCCTTGGTGTAAGTAAATTCTCTCTGACTTCTTTAAGATGGTTTTGACTTACTTAGAAACACAGTTGCATTGTTATACTATCTGACAGTATATTAAATAGAACATAATTCTATGCTGGTGTTCTATTCTGAGCTGTTCCCTTTCATCTCTTTCTCATCATGGTCTAGAATGTAAGGTTTATATCATTTTGGTTAAAATGTTATTTTTAACTAAAATACATTTTTCTCATCATCTAAAATTCTGCTCACAGTAAAAAAGTTGAGATGACATAAAAGTCTCATAATAGATCGGTGGTTAAATTCAGAGTATATCTTATGGATAAAAGGCAACCATTAAACATCATGATTTCGGAAAATATTTAATAGCATGGAAAATCTTTACTATACAACCAAAAAGAAAAGCACAAAGCCATATAGATAGTATAATTCTAAGTAGGTGAAAAAAAGATAATATATACAAAGAAAAACATCAGAAGGAAAACACCAAATGTTAGCAGAATTTATATCTGGTACAAGTTTATGACTTGCATTATATTATTTTTCTTTTTGTGTTTCTATGCTTTCCAAATTTTCTAAAGTGTGCATTACATCATAATTGAAAACATAAATATTGTGAAATTTTTGCTTAATGACCTCTTACTTATGATACTTTTTCAAGTTATGTCTTCTAGTTTTATGATCTTCCCAGAAACCCCCTCTCCTTTCTATTTATTGCTCTTTGTATCTTTAAATACTAAGCATTTATATGTACATATGGACAGCTCTCATTAGTGTTTATGTATTTAAGCTACTTTCTTATTACTGGTGTGTATGGTTTCATGTTTTTATAAAAACAATATATAGAACTGCTTGGTATATAGGAATCAGAAATATGTTTTTGTTTTGTTAAATCTTGGTGTTTAAGAAGCAGAACTGCCAAGAAAGTGTAGGCTGACAGAAATCAAAGTAAAAGGCAATATGGTAGGAGAATGAGTGGTTATGAAATGCTCTGTGCTAGGCACATATCTATTACCTCATTTACTCCTTACAACTTACCCAAGAGGAAGATGGACTCCTTTCCACAGAAGAAACAGTGGCTCAGTTGAGACCATAGGACTTATCATAGGTCACATAGCCCAGTAAAGTGCTACCTCTTCCAGCTTTTTCTTCTTGCCTTGACTCTTCTACTTGGTCACAAACAAGTATATCTAGTAATGTGTGCATGTGTAGAGAGCAACCACACAATTAACAATGTAATTTTGGGAATGTGTGACAGAAATATGTGTGTACATGCATTCTTTAATGTTTTTTATTTCATGTCATAGTGACATTTTATGCATATTGTATGTATGTTCCTTGTTGTGAAAGTAAAATGCTCTTATTCCTTTTTTTTTTTTGGAGACAGAGTTGTGCTCTGTCACCCAGGTTGGAGTGCAGTGGCATGATCTTGGCTCACTGCAACTTTTGCCTCTCAGATTCAAGCGATTCCCATGCCTCAGCCTCCCAAGTGGTTGGGATTACAAGCATGTGCCAGCATACCCAGATTATTTTTTTTTTGTATTTTTAGTAGAAACGGGGTTTTACCATGTTGTCCAGTCTGGTCTCAAACTCTTGGCCTCAAGTGATCCACCCACCTCAGCCTCCCAAAGTGCTAGGATTACAGGTATGAGACACTGCACCCGGCCTCTGATTCCTTTTTAACTCCCTACAGTTACTAGTACACAGTGCCTTCCATCCAGATTCTCAATAGGTGCTCTGACCAAGCCATTAAATCTTAATGTTATATACTATACACAGCATACTGCTATTTAGAATTTAGAGATGGCTTGGTGTGTTTCATTATGTTAGAATTATATGTAGATGGATAAGAGCTAATGAGACAACAAAGATTTCCAGACAATTAAAACAATGAGTGTGAGAGCTATAGCTATGATTTCATGTGTATCTTCATAAAATTGAGAGAATTAAAATTGGCCTATTTTATAGTTAATTTTTCAACAAGAAGATTGAAAAATGCATGCATTATTAATGCTACCTCTGTAGCTGCTACTAGCAGAAGAGTCTCTTAAATCAGTGATGTTTTCTGAGGTGTGAAAGCATAGTAATAGTCATTGAGTTCCAAATATATTACTGCAACAAAGACACTTTGGTAAGGTAAAAAAGAATAGCTTTACTTCTTAGATTCTAAGTGTATTGTTGAACCAGAATATTTGATCAGATCAATAATGAAATTATAATAATAAGCAACAAAAACAAATCTACTGGGCTTTCTCTCACTCTGTCACCTAGGCTTGAGTACAGTGGTAGAGCTCAGTCTCAGCTCACTGTAACCCCAGCCTCCCGGGTTCAAGCAATTCTCCTGCCTCAGCCTCCTAAGTAGTTGGGATTACAGGCGTGAGCTACCATGTCCAGCTAATTTTTATATCTTTAGTAGAGATGGAATTTCACATGTTGGCCAGGCTTGTCTTGAACTCCTGACCTCAAGTAATCTACCTGCCTCAGCCTCTGAAAGTGGGCCTCTTATTACATTTAAACTTGCTTTATTTAGCATAACTTTATGTGTATTCTAGAATGGATTGGTTATTCAATTAATTGAATATCTAATCATATGCTGGATAGAACGTGGAATACAAAGGAAAAAAAGACCACAGTTATTGGCATCAAGGACCTTAGTCTAGTAAGTTGTTTGTATACAACAAGGACACAACAGTAAATGAAGATGGGAAAAGGAGGAGGAACAGTGTGCTCTGAGTATAGAATGAGTTAATGTAGAGATTCAAAGGACTTCTACTATGTCCTCCAGAGGCCTAAAATCCTACCAGGATGTGGTTAAGATGGTTTTCTTAATATTTCACTGTCTTCCCTTTCCAAAAGATGTGCAGTGTTTATAAAGGAATAAGCCATGTAGTTCTGATCCAAGGCAGTGTCATGTGCAAAGGAACTTAGCCACCAGTAGTAATTTCAGAATATCTCAAATACTTTACTTGTATTTCTCACACACTGTGAAGGGGACTGTATTGTCCATTTCTGCATTGCTGTAAAGAAATACCTGAGCTGGGTAATTGATAAAGAAAAGAGGCTTAGTTGGCTCACGGTTCTGCAGTCTGTACAAGCATGGCCTTAGCATCTGCTTCTGGCTAGAACCTCAGAAAGCTTACAATCATGGTGGAAGGGAAGGGGAGACAGCACACATCATATGACAGGAGCAGGAGCAAAAGAGACGGGGGATAGGTGCCACATTCTTGTAAGCAAACATATCTCACGTGAACTACCAGAGCAGGAACACACTCATTACCAAGGAGATGGTGCTAAACTATTCATGAGAGATCTGCTCCCATGATCCAAACAACCTCCCACAAGGCCCCACCTCCAAAATTGGGGATCACATTTCAAAATGAGATTTGGAGGAAACAAACATCCAAGCCATAACAGGAACACATAGCTCTCAGAAAATTTCCTCAAAAATTTTCTTTTCTCTTTCCTACAAGCTGCCTTCACACCCCACAGCTATTCTCACTCCTAGCTTCTCCCCTGAGCCATTTCCTCTGCTTCCAGCTTGGACTGTTTTTACTTTCCTCTGCCCACCTTCTCCTGTGAAGTCATTTTCTTCTTCCTACCACGTTGCAGGCATTGCTTCTCTGTTGATTCTCTGACAGTTCTCCATTACTGATGCCAAAAGCATTGCTTTCTTTTAGCGTCTTCTCTTCTCAGAAGATAGAGGAGAGGAAGTAGCCGCCCAAAGCCAGAATCATCTTTTGCAGACTTGGAAAAACTCTCAAAGGAGTAGTTTTTGTGTCCTTAAGAGGTAAAAATCTTTCTTAAAAGTCTCCGAAATCTGAGGTTCTGCACTTTATTCTATGCATCTCGCCCATTTAATTCTTCAGCTTGAGTTCTGTTGCCTATTCATTTTTGTAGGTCTGTTACTGCACATTTCATTGTAGCTGATTTCGCTCAGGAAACAGCCTTCAAATGTGGAAATGTAGGTCAGGATCATATATATTTAGGATGTCATTCATATGGAAGATAAAAGATAAGAATCCCTGTTGCAAATTTCTTCTTTCTTTAATCCATTCTACTACATTCCAACGTTGTAGGTTTTGGTATTTTGAGTTTTCTTATCCCATAGGAAAAAAAGTGGGTTCTTTCATATTAATATTCATGACCATGTATACATGTGATACAATAAACCACCATTAAAGAGATTATTTACCTAAATATAATATTTTAAAAAACTGATTTAATGAGTAAATAGCTATGACCAATAGCATGCATATTGTAGGAATAAATTTGATGAAGTATTCATAAATTATGGGCTAGGGATGAATTTTTGAGTAGCTAATGGGCTCTGCAACTATGCTGGTTGACTGCTTACACACACATATACACACATACAGTTTAATAATTACATGGGGTATAGAAAAAAAGTTGGACAAATAAGTCTCACCCAAGTCTTTTCCCACCAAATTTGTCTCCAAACCAGGAATGCCAAACAGCTCAAAACTAGTGGATGTGATCTTCCCAGTTCTCCACTTTTCCCACTGTAGTTGGAAGCGCTAATGAACTGATAGCTCAAACAAAACCCGGCACATAGTAGTCAGTCAAATTTTTATTGAATGAAAAGTGAAGACCCCCAAATCAGAACACAGAATGACACAAGAAAGAAAGGACTTGAGTGTATCTTGTTCATTTCTATACTGCATATCTGATCCCTGCATAATCACAGAGTGGCTAAAGATGATTCATCTGAAAGACCTATTTAAGGAAGGAAGTGAAAGTTATAGGCTAAAAAATGACCCATAATCAGGTGCTGACAGTTGTGTGTTGAAAGGTTCTATGTAAAGCCAAACTTTCCAACCACAAAAAGGGACCTGTTTTGTTCAACATTCTGGAGCAAAGAAATTGAGGAGAAAGCCGAGCAAAGATGAAAGACCTAGAAATAGTTTTAACTTTCATGCTTGACACAGGAAAATAAAAGAAATCTGCTGAGTAGATCAAACAAATAAATGTCCAATCATGCATTTAATTTGAATTCCCATGAAAATCTGTCAAATTTGTAGAAAGACTGCAAAGTTTATTTTTGGTACAAGATAGGCCATCTCTTATGCCAAAAATTGAAATGCCTCATAAAATTGTGTACAGGTGACTTGGTGATTCAGCAGCAGACTGTTCAGATTGTTTGTTATTGATGTCCCTTGCTGCTTCCTTGTAAATTCATGTACACATTCGATTCACTCATGCATTTATTATTATTATTATTTTTTAAATTCAACACATACTTAGTTACTTATTGATGCTGGGCATTGGGCTAGGCTTTGGAGACATGAAAACTATCTCTCTCTGTGTTAGAGATTTAGTCTAGGCTGGTGCGGTGGCTCACGCCTGTAATACCAGCACTTTAGGAGGCCTAGGCGGCGGATCACCTGAGGTCAGGAGTTCAAGACAGACCAGCCTGGTAAACATGGTGAAACCCCATCTCTACTAAAAATACAAAGCTTAGCTGGGCATGGTGGCAAGTGCCTGTAATCCCAGCTACTCAGGAGGCTGAGGCAGAAGAACTGCTTGAATCCAGGAGGCAGAGGTTGCAGTGAGCCCAGATTGCACCATTGCACTACAGTGTGGGCAACAAGAGCAACACTCCATCTCAAAAAAAAAAAAAAAAAAAAATTGACTTTTTTTTTTTTAACTATACAGTACTGTAAGTGCATGACAAAACTAAGTCCATTCGAAATGCCAATTCAGACTGGGAAATCTAGGAAAGCTTCTGGGAAGTATTAATTCATGAGCTGAGATTTGAAAAAGAATGGGTTTAGTCAGATGAAGGAGTGGCATTAGAACATGGATTCTACAGCCAGGCTGCCTGGGCTCAAGCCTTGTTTTTTTTCAGTAACTATGCATAATCCCAGGCAAGGTCGCCAACCTCAATCTCTCAGTTCTTCAATTTCTACCTCAGTTTCTCAATTCTGTAACCTCAAATTCCTCAATTTCTCCATGATTGAGGATAACAGTAGTGCCTACCACTAAACTATCCCAGGTTTGTAAGGATGAATAAATGAGTTGATATTTCCAAAGTACTTGGAACAGTATGTCTCACTTAAGTGTTATATAAGTGTGTGATGAATAAATACAGGGGGAGGATGGCAAGTGTCTTTGGTAGCAGGTACGGCTGGTGCATTAGCTTGAAACGGCATGTATTCTGCATTTAGAAGAGTAAAGAATAGAACGCAGGGGCCATGACTGAGGAGCATCAAAAGATAAGGCTGGAGAGACTTGAAGACTTTGGTAAGAAATGTGGTTATTTTCCTAGACACCGTGAATTCTGGAAAAATTTTAAGCAAAGAAGTGAAAAGATTACATTTGCATTTTAAACAGGTCAGTGGAGAAGATTGTGTCAAGTGATACTGAGACTCCAAATGAGACAATGACTGAAAAAAGTTCCCCGGATTTAGCCAGAAACAAGAAGGTTATTAGTAATTTAGGAGAGAATAGAATAGATTCTGTTGAGTGATACATAAAGAAATTGAATCCAAGGTATGACTTGAGGCATGAATGGGTAGTGAAAAAAAAGTGAAGGTAATGAAGGAAGAAGAGAGAAAAATATGGTAGACTGCAGACACGGTTACAAAATCTTCCACCTGTTTGCCTGTCCCTTTGCAATGTTTGATGATTTGACTTATGGTCAATGGGCTTTTAGCAAATGTGATACAAACAGAAGCTTGAAATGTGATTGTGTATTGGGGTTTGCCCTCT